ATACTTAACTAACAAGGAAATACATTGACAACATATTGCAAGGTGAGAAACAGGGGTTCAGAAAATAATTTAATTACTATTCCAGTTTTGTAAAATTATGTGTATTTATTTGTATATATATGCATAAAAATACTCTGGAGAAATCACAGCCAAGCATGAACTGGTAAACATCTGTGGGCAAACACCATCACGGCAGGTAAATTATAGTCCTTCTTATATTATGTTTTCCTAACGCCTCTTCATTCTAATGCAAAAATTACTTGTAAAAGACTCCCTCCCTCCCCAAAACATTTAATGTTTTTTCCATCTCATAATTCAAGTTTCAAATAATGTTTTCCTTGTTAAGGGTCAAACAGTACAGGCCTTACACAAAAACTAATGCTTGCTTTATATCATTGTGGTATAGTTTCTCATTACATAAATTACTTCAACAGTTTGGGTGGGGGTGAGGGTAAAGGAATGGAAATTTCGTACACTGAAGTTTCAAGGTATAATGGTGGAAACAGCAAGAACATTAGCAAAGGAAAATGCCTTGGCAAGAGAGGAGATTGAATTCCACATATTCCCAACACTTGTTTGATTCATTCTGGAGGGGTCTGCCTTGATTAGTCTTTTTTTTTTTTTTTTAAAGATTTATTTCTTTATTTGTACAGAACTGGGGTACAGGCCAGAGGTGCAGAGGGTGAGAGAATTCACCAGAGACAGAGCGGGGAGCAGAACAGGCAGATCGACGAAGTACACTGCTGAGGGGAGCAGCGGGCGGGTCAGGAGAGGTCTGCCACGCCATGTGGTCGCCTCCGGGGCAGGCGGGAATCGAACTCATGAGGAAGTGGCTTTAGATTCTCAGTGCTGTGCTTTAACCCGCTGCGCCACCAGGGAGGGCCTGATTAGTCTATTTTAAAATTGCTGTGGAAATAAAATTAGCCTTAACTAAAATTAACATTAAAATGCACAAGATACACAGCAACACCACTAACAATGGCTTTAAAGGTAGTTTCAGAAAGGTGATCTAACAATTTTATCTTGCAGTCTGTTATAAAAGTACCTTTAGTCAAAAGCCATCTGTTTCAAATTTTCCGTTTATATGGGAATAAATTCTCTAGCTATTTACTGTAGCTCATTACTTGGCTATATCACTATTATCTTTCCTGTAATTCTGAAAAGTCTGCTGCAGCAACTCCTCTGTCATTTCTGATTCCATTTTACAAGAGTTTCCCGTTACTTTGTCTCAGTCAGCCTACCTAGATGTCTATTTTGTTTGTTTATCTTTTCAAAAAACAAATTTAGACTTCACTGATTTGTACTGTTTTGATTTCTATTTTTCAAAAAAAATTTTGCTCTAATTTTTATTATTTCCTTCCTATTAGTGATCTTTGGCTTCATTTGTTCTTCCTATTTCCATAAGTTCAAAGGTTAAATTATTTATTTGACATTCTTTTTTGTTTTTTATTTGATATTCTTTTTGTTTTTCTTCATTATAGTAATTTTTAGTAATTATGTTATTAGTAATTATATATTATTAAGTAATTATTAATTATATGTTATTAAGATTGTCAATCTTTTCAAATATAACTTAATGATGATTATTTGCATATAATTTTTTGATACTCATGTTACAGATTGCTTACACAATTGAAATAGAAGGAAAACCATATTTTGTCTATCTCAAAAAACAGTAAGTAATCATTTTGTTCTTTTAAAATTTTAATTCATTGGTTTCTTGATTTTTAAGCTAAAGTCTCTAATTCAAATGTATATTTAGAAATCAAAAATATTTTCAAACATATACTTATTTAAGTCTTATGCATTTGGTCGTTTATATTTATTGGGTGTAAGTATATTATACTTATAAAAAACATTAAGTCTTATACATCATTTTGGAGGGGTCAAAATAGTGAGAAGATAACTAAATTTTGATTATACAGTAGTTTAGGAGAATGATGATGGTGGCTTGATTAATGACATTGGCCATAGTACCAGAGAGAACAATTTGAAGAAGATTTGTTGAAATGATGGGGAAAAGAGAGGAATCTTGGATAAGAAATGGTAGGGGATATAGTGTGATTAGGTGGGAAATGCAGACAAGGGAGATATTTATGTGAAGAAAGGATGGATTTGGTTTGTACTACCTATAAAATTTGTTTTTTATCCTTCCCTACTAGGTAATGAAGATAGAATTTGAGTTGCTGAGGAAAGATTTACAATGAGTATTGATTTAGCAGTAATCAATATTTGTCTTTTTTTTTAATGAGAGGTTATTGAATGCTTATAAATCAAATATTGGTAAAATATGAATCCATAGCAAGATTGATATTTCTTTGATATCTAGAATGCAAAAGAGTAGTGAAATTGGAAAGATCAGAGAGTCGGGAAGAACAGTAGAAGTGTGATGATGTATGATGTAAATTGATTAGACTAAACAGTGACAGTTTTCAAAATTGTGGCATAGCAGTCCAGTACAATGGTGATTTCAAAATTTGTCTTTTAGCTTTGACATTCTGGTGCTTATAAATTTTCTAGTGCACTTTCAGTGAGAATGAAAATTATGGACACTTAAATCTCTTTTGATAAAATTTGTTGAGAAATGAGACTAGTTAGTGAATACTTAGGACACAGGGTCAGTGGAGGATGACTTAGATAGTAATGACTTGAAAGTAAGCCTTTTAATAACATTAAGCTAAAAAAACTAAGTAGAGAGGAAGATTTCAAAGTTATGGCATCCAAAATGCCTGCATTTTCAATATGTGGAGTAGTATGGAATCCAGAACTAAGTGTATTTAATTTGAATAAACTCATCCTCTGGGAATAAAGATTAGGAGGGAGGATGGGTACAGAAGATCTGAAAGTGAGGAGACATGTAACTTAGTGGAATGAATCATCCCAGTAGAGTAAAGCTTTCTAATAGCTACTGAGGAGAAAGGAAGAAAATGCTCAACAAGGTTACTGAGAAGACTTTGAAGCTTACTAAGTTAACCTTGGTGAAGATGAATTTGTGATTGATACCAAGCAAATCTTGGAAAACTCTGTGCTTCCACTACATTTTTATCATTTAGGTTTAAAACCTGAACTCTGAACTCTGTAAGCAATAAAGATGAAGATTTGAAACTTAAATGCTGGGAGGTGGATTTTATGTTACTTTATTATTTGTGATTTCTAGTAATTTGGATTGTTCCTTAGTATTCATTATCGTATTGCATGTCACAATAGTTGAAATGCCTCCCTCAAACCTAAATTTCTGTAAATGATAAGTATTTGAACAATATGATATGGCAAGATAATCTGCACTACTTTAACTTCTCAATAAAAGAACATTTATATTATGAAGAATTTTTTTCTATGCTTTGTTTCATAACTTGAGCATGTTTTTGTGATTCCTGCCTAGATCATTTTTTTCTTCAGCTTCTGTTGTTTATTCTTATGACAAAGATGACACCCAACATTCTAAACCTTTGTTAGTTCAGGTAAGACTTAGGATTTTTTTCTTAAAGGGTTTCTTTTGGGATTTCTTTAAAATATGAATATTTTGTCTATGGTGATGGCACACAGGTGATTTGGTGATGGGAAGACCATGGGGATTACAACTGAGATGGAAATATATGTAGAAATAGACTATTTTATTTAAAAAAAATCTTAAACAGAAAAAAAATGAATATTTTGTAATTACAAATATATTATTTTAAACATTCACTGAAATTGAATAATTTGGGCTAGTTTATGCTTCTGTCTGTCACAAATTTATTAGGTACTTGACATACATGTTAAAGTACTAAGCTAGTTAAAATAATAAATATGATTAACATTTTGGGGTTATTTTTTATAATTTCTCCATGTGTTTTTCTTTTTGTAATTTTTTTTTCAGATGGATTGCAATTACCATGGATATATTGCAGGTTTTCCAAATTCTCTTGTGTCACTCAACACTTGTTCAGGCCTCAGGTTGTGGTCTGTTTAGATATATTCAATTTGTTAATATTAGTTCTTGATAGTCTGAGTTGATCTTCATGTACATTTTCTAGTTCTACTGTCACCTCTATTGCTCTGATTCCCTAAGAACACTGAATGGGTTACCCTGGCACCAACTGGCCCTCCAGTTGAATGTGACAATTTCTGCTGCTTGAGATTTCAAAAAATTTTGGATGTAGTGGTGTTGGTGGTCTCTTTGTAGTATCTTCTTTCTTTGAAAAAAAATTTTTTTTTATTGTTGTTGCTGATTCCTGAACTTCCTAGAGTGATTCATAAATGCAAAATGCTGAATGTAACTTTGGTTCTATTCCCCGTAATTTTTAAGCATGCCATTCTCCAATTCTGCCCACATAAAGACAGGATTTAGGACACTAATGTCAGAGGAGGGTTAGGAGTATCAAAAGAGAAAAGGAACCTAAGTCCATGCAAAGAGAGTGCCTCTGGAACCTACAGACTGGCTTAGAAAATCTATATTCCAGGAATTGTATTCATGCCACTACCATGCTTCCTTTAGATAGTCTGGATATAAGTATTAGAATAGTTTAAATAAAAGCAATATGTAGCCTGTGGTGTTGCTGGTCCAGTTTTGGGATAACACCTTAGAGGAAAAAGAGAGGTGATGTTTAATGTAAAGAAATATTTTGGCTAAACTGTCTCATTAGAATATTAGATTATAGGCCTCCCCAGTGGCATAAGGGGGGAAGTCTCAGCACTATGAAGCTATCTGCAGTCACTACAGCAATCTCTGACCAGGGAACTGACCCACATGGCTTGGCAGACCTCTCTTGACCCACCTGCTGCTCCACTCAGCAGTGTGTTTCAGTCATTACACCTGTTCTGCTCTCCACTCTGTCTCTGGTGAATCCTCTCACCCATCGCACCTGTGGCCTGTACCTCAGCTCTTGTATGCATAAATAAGTAAATCTTTAGAAAAGTAAAATTAAAAATTGGACTGTAGGTACTTTTAAAAAAGAATATTATTGTTTCGGTAGGGTCATTTCAAACTTGTTTGGATTATTTTAACATTTAGGGGAACAATGCAGTTCAAAAACATCTCATATGGAATTGAACCAATGGAGGCTGTATCAGGATTCATGCACATGGTTTATGAAGAAAAAAAAGATAAAATTAAAATTCCTCTATTAGGAGGAAATGTCACTTACAGCCGTAGTGATTTAACATATGAAGTCAGAACAAGTATAGAAGTAAGTGTTGACTTTATAATCTTAATTTAGCACAAATTTATAAATGAAAATGCTTTCAAAGCAAAATGTAGTTAACTTGCAAATGTTAAGATCATTTTACTTTTACATCATGATCCTGCTTGATTTTTAAAATGGATAGAAATGCTGCTAGATTTTTGTTATAGTTGTTATTAGATGAAAGTTTAGCAAAGTTTAGATTATTAACCCTGGAAACATGAATGTAAGATAAAAGAAAACAATTTCCACATGTAACATTTGTATAATTAATCTAATTATGCCTTTTATACATTTATTCTGATAATATAGGTGAAAGTGAAAGTATCATGTGATCTGGATTTCTAAATCAAGTCTTTGTTTCATGATACTTCAGGAAGGAATATTATCAGAACCTTACAGAATGTACATGTATAGGTGTGTGATAAATTTTTCTACAAAAACCTGTACACTGACATATGTAACAGTCTTTATTATAAGAAACTTTATTTACTATGAACTTCAGTAATACTTTCTAATCTAGATTTGCCAGACATATTTAACCAATTATTTTCTTAATAATGATATTACAAATAAAGCCCTTTATGGAAATTTATCCCAAGTCTGATGAAAAAAAAGCCATATGTTATAAACTCATTATTGTCGGTTGTTGCTATTAGTAAGATCAGAAAGTGGGTGCTATTAGAACTTCAGTTGTCACTGAAAATTCTTATTAGCCCCAGGTACTTTTTAGACCAGAATTTTCTAAATAGTACCTACATTTTGCATTTGAAAATAGCTTTCTTTTAAAAAAACTTGTATATCTATTTACATTATTGCTCATTTTACAACGTTTACTTCCTCTCTCCCCCCACCAAATACCCCCTCCCCCCAGGATAGCTCTGGTTTATAAGTGTCTATTTGTTTTTCTTTTGTTTTGTATTGTAATAACACTGCACGTTTCCCCTTATGTCTTATTTGGTTCTCTTAAGTTCTTCCTATAAGTGAAACCATTCAGTATTTTTCTTTTTTCTTCTGACTTGAAAACAGCCCTCTTATGTAATTCTAATATCAATGTATGTCTCTATTTCTGAAAATAAATCCAATAGAAGATAAGTTTTTGGAATTTCCTCATGATTAATGTGATGTGTTTTTCAGAGAACTGAGTTTTACAAGTTGTTCCCTCGTTATCTTGAAATGTACATCATTGTGGATAAAAAACTGGTAGGTCTTTTTAAAAAATATATTGTTATTTTAAAAGATTTAACATTTGTCACACTTGATTTCAATGATGTAATAATACAAATGTTAGACCACTTTTTGATCAATGTTTGTTTTACTTTTGGAATTAATAGATCCTTAAAAAGTGTGAAAAAATAAATAGTTATTTTTCATTTGGAACAGCTAATTGCTTTTGCAAAGCAAGGCACCTTTTCATTTTCTAAACTTTGTCAGGTTTTTTTTTTTTTTTTAAGGGCTACATTCTCAATGAACAAAACTCTTTCTATGAGGGTCGCATCAGTCTGAACTGTGCCCTAAGTTCCCTAGCAGCTGGTTCTGCAAATGCAGAGCTACAGAGCTTTCTGCTCAAGTGCTGTTGTTATGGGGCTGAGTATCTCTTTGGGTTTCTGAGAAGCCCTGACTAGGTTTTCTAACTATTTTGGGGGATTGAAGGCTATATTCAACAGCAGTCAAGGTTATAGATTAGCTTCCCTCCATGTGAATATTCTCTACTTGACATTAGATGAACATATAAAATTAGATGACATATAAAATTAGATGACATATAGCTCCTATGTCATATATAGTCATTATATATGTACACACACACACACACACACATATATATGTAATACATTTGATATTGTTGAATTAACATTTTTTAATTTGATATTGGTATAATGGGCAAAAAGGACAAAGTCCTAATTCTTAATAAGTATAGACAGAGTGTTTGCAACTTTTTATCATTAAATAGTTCAGCAAATGAACAGTGGTACTCCAAGGTTCACATCTGCAGATAAAGACAGAGAACTAAATTTGACAAATATTAACAATAGATTATTCTGGATAATGGATAGATAGAGAAGCTTTGAATTTTATGTTTTATGTAGATTTTTTTTTGATACGTAGTTTTCAAAATGAATGTTTAAAATGAGTTAATTTTATTTTAAATAAAATTATACATTTATCTAGAGGTATAACTTATATAAAGTTGATCTAAAATACCTCTATAACGTTGATCTAAACATTTAAGAGTAGGATAGAAAGAGCATTCATTCAAAGAAATATTTACAGAAACTTTATCGTTAAATCAAAAGTAAGCAATGCACTGCTGTCACCAGTCATCTGGCAGGGTAAGACCTCATTTCTGTAACTCTGTTCAGATCGCCTTATTAAGAGTCAATGCATTAAGCATTTCTTTAAGAGTTGAACTCTGATGAAGCTTTACTTTTTTTTTTGTCAGCACAGGATAGAGGCCTTCTCTAGGTAGATTCAGCTGAATATATTACCCTGAATGTATAAACTTGAAATCATCATAGCAAAAAAAGAAAAAAAATTCTCATATAAATAGCAGAGGTCATCAGAAAATACCATGAAAACATGAATTAGAAATTAGAATTCATGAAAAAATGAATTAGAAATTAGAAAACAGGAAAAAAGAAAATTATGTCACCTTCATTAATTGCAATAATGTGAGTGGGGGTAAATATTAGTAAAGTTCAAAGAATTTTGATTAGATGATATAAACATGCCATATAAGGTGCTAAAAACAAAATAGCAGTTTTAGGTATAAAACATTTTTAATTGACTAGCAAAAGGATTATCTATCAAAAAGAAAATCTGGATGATATTACTAACAGCAAATATAAGATTCAGCATGATAAACTTTAAGGAATGGGAGGTATATTTTATACCGATTGGTGCAATTCAAATTACATTGTACAAACATGAACAATGATGTAAAATATAAATTTGTAATAAACATTTCATTTTTAAATAAGTTATAATTAAACTATGAAAAGGAAAGTCTGGAACTACTTGGACTCAAAAGTACAATGAAATATATTTAGGTATTCCTCTTAATCTTGAACAGATAGAAAATAAATGTTAATTCATAAAGAATACAATTATTTATCAGGTTGCTATACTTAACACTGTACCTTATAAGTGGGTGCCAATACCTTCAAGTATCTGTAGGTATTTGTAGAACATATGTGCATGTAGTTCATCTCTAGGTCCCAAGGTGAGCTGTAATGACTTGAAAAACAAAAACTGATAGGCTGATATACCACAGTATATTAAAATATAAAGGATAAAACATAGGCAAAAAATAAAATGAAAAAATTAAATAATGTAATTTTCACGGTGAAAAATAAACGGTAATGATTTCTTTATAACAATTAAAAAATTTTTTTAGGCAATGCATTAATTAGAACAGGGCAAATTTGTGTTATGGTAAAAAATAAACCCAGTATTTTAATGGCAAGATTTATTTTTTATACATGCAATGTCAACCGTGGGTCAAGGTGACTTTCTAGGCAGATGTCTTCCATCTGTTGATTCAAAAATACAGAATGTTAAGATTTTTGTGTGTTTTTATATCTAAAACTTCCTTTCCGATTATCAGTTTTATTGAAGAGCGTCAGTGACAACATGGGAAGTGACCTTCAGCACTTTTGCCCTGACTTCATTGGTCACGGTGAATCACCTGATTATTTCTATATTAAAAAAGGGAAGGAGGGCTTCTCCATTAGAAGAGAACTAAATATTGGTAACTAGAGACAATGTCTACCATAGAAAATAGTTGTGTTTAATAAGAATGGAAAATATATGAATGAAGCATTTATTTTAAAGTATTAACCTACAAGGGCCCTCCCTGGTGGCGCAGCGGGTTAAAGCACAGCACTGAGAAGCTAAAACCAATTCCGCATGAGTTCGATCCCCGCCTGCCCCGGAGGTGACCACATGGCGTGGCAGACCTCTCCTGACCCACCCGCTGCTCCCCTCAGCAGTGTACTTCCTCGTGCTGCCTGTTCTGCTCCCTACTCTGCCTTCTGGTGAAATCTCTCACCGCCCCTGAGCCTCTGGCCTGTATCCCAGTTCTGTATGCACAAATAAATCTTAAAAAAAAAAGTATTAATCTACAAAACAGGAGAAGTAAAAGAACTTAATATCAAACACAAATAAATGATGATAAATGGAAACATTAAAATTGAAATATAAATTCAGGAACTGACTTGTAGAAAAATAAATGGGGAGAAAATGTTACCAAATAGAAAGTACAAAAGCATATTATGTTGTTAAAAAGAATATAGATGATGTAGCTAGTATTAGAAATGATCACAACAAACAAAATAAACGTGACAGTTTTTCTCATCTCCAAAGAATGTATGAATTTAAATCAAATTATCACTTTGTACATCTTCAGCGTAAGCATACAATTATATATGTGTATGTATAATATATAGTTGTATGTGTTTATGTCTTAAAAAAAACTAGGAAAGAATTTGAATGGATCATTGCTGGTGTTAGGTATAGATAGTTTTAAAGGAGAGTTTTCTTTTTTCTTGAATATTATGTTGATGGAGGTAAAGCAGATTTATATCTTTGTGTCTGCATGGCAGTTCTGTGTTCCAATTCTATAAAGATATGCTTTCACACACTACCCACACTTGCTGCGCCTTCCCCTTCCCTCCCCACTCCCACCTCACCCCCACCTCACCTCCACCTCACCATCCTCCCCATTGGTTGCCTCAGTGTTGCAGCCATATGTTGAGTATTATCAGCTTGGTTTTGACTGACCCTGTTATGTTTCTCTATATCCATATACAGTGAGAATATCCAATATTTTTCTTTTTCCTTTGAATATATTTTTTCTTACCATTATTCTCTCTAATTCCATTCATGCAGTTTCAAGTGACTGGAACTCATTTTTTTTTAAATAGCCAAAAAGTATTCCACTGTATAAACATATATGTATGCATATCAAACACATTCTTCTGACATATTCCTCTGTCCTTGGCCCAAGCTATGTTTATAGTTAAATTATAAAGGCGATATCATTAAAATTTTCAGGTAGGCATTATTCATATACCAATAAATTCTAAGCTATGAGGAAAACATGCAGCTTAATATTTTTAAGTGGTACTCAGCATTCACTTGCTGCTGAGTGAATAAACTCACAAGCAAATGACCTGTAGATCAGCTTTCTTAAATCTACAAACTTTAAAATATTATATTAATTTTGGTACTGTATTGATAATGTGTAACACTTTGATCAAGGGATGTAATGAGGATTTAATATTAAGTGAAATATGAATGAGATTTATTGCATCAGTTTAATGCAGCAATAGGTCAAAAGACAAATCATTTGGTTTGCTTTAAAAAGATGATTTGATAAAATTTTAACTCAAAGTTTTATAAAAACTTGTATATATAAATCCTAGATACAAGTTGGTGTTTCTGAATATAATCTAGAATACATCTTAAACTGGACAGCACTTCCTGAGGAAAAATGTATAGTTTCTACTGACAAAAGAAGCAAAGCTGATACACTGCTTACATGCTATGAATATTGTCCTGACATTTTAAACCAATTAGACTTAGAAGGAACTTATTTGAATACAGAAATTTCAGAACATATGTAACATTATCAGATTAAATGATGTAATCTGAACAGTTTCCAGATATCTCTTAATATGCATTTCCTTCTACACTTTTTTTTTGTTTGTTTATGGTTATATTAAGAAATAAGTATCTTTGGAAATACCACATTAAAAATTATGATTAAGCTATCATAACAAGTCAATAATACCATTAAACTAAGTAGGTTACAGATTTTAAAAAATCATAGGTTTTTAAATATTTTTATTATATTATACATCATTATTGATTCCCATTGTAGATTACAGATTTTGAAAAATCATAGTTTGAAATATTTTTATTATACTATACATAATTGTTGATTTCCATGGTTGATTTTGAATTTAGTACTTTTTGTATGTAAAGGGTATATGATATATTAATGACATCCACTTGTTTTAAAAAACAATTTATCTTTTCAGTTTGATTACATGGGATCTGATATAAAGATTGTCACACAAAAGGTTGTTCAGATAATTGGCCTTGTGAACACAGTAAGTTTTGAAACCTGTTTTGTTTATATACCTTATTTTTCTGTGTACAGTTGAAGAACTTCCTTGCTCAAAATTAGAGGTGTTAAATGTTTTCAAATTTAATACTCAATTTCATATAAATTTTCATTGCCATTTCATTTTAGATGCTTGCCAAGTTGATGGTAAACATTGTAATATCTTCCATAGAAATTTGGTCAAATAAAAACAAAATTTCTACTGCAGGAAATCCGAATCACATATTATTTAGGTTTGTAGAATGGAAGAGAAGCCACCTCTTTGAATCTCATCATATTGCATACTTATTGGCGTGAGTATTGTGTTCCAAACTTGCATAACATTATAGGAATTACATAAAATGATTTCATGTTAGATAAAAAACTATTATATAATATATAACATGTTTTAAAAATTTTAGAGACACCATGAGGATTGAAAAAAACATGTAATTTTAAAATCCTTGAAAATCAAAAATTTCATGTGAAACAAGACTAAAATATTTTACCAAACAATATAAATTTGCCTGATAAATGTAAAGTTAAATAATAGCATTGAAATAACCAATCTTTGATTTGCCTTGACTCACAAATGATACTATCTGTTATAGTATCAGTACATTCTTACCTCTCATCTGTTTCTTACATTTTTATCTTATGATAGCATGAATATATTAAATTGCTACATTATCTAGAATGTAATCTATAGATAAATCTATGCATCTTCAGTAAATAGATGAATAAGGAGGTCACAGAGAACTGAATTTTCAGGGCAATAAGTGTAGAGGGAACCAAAATAAAAGCTATAATCATTAAAGCAGTGGCATTTTACGTTAACTATTAGGTCTCATCCTTAAACTTCTGGGTGTTTATCAGATTCAAAATTTGACAATATCTATATTGAAATATTCTTAATATTGGTGATTTGAGAAAAAGTAAGTAGTATAATTCAGAGTAGCATGGAATTTGGAGTATAGTAATGTCTAATAATTTTTGCTGCTCTGCAAACTATCTCTGGTAATAACCACTCTGAAATGTACTTAACTGGAAAATTATTATTTTATTAGCTTCAAAGAAAAGCCTAGTTTTATAGGAGCCACATTTCCTGGAAAAGTGTGTAATAAGGAATCTGCTGCAGGAGTTGCGGTGGTATGTAATTATTATCCAGTTTATTCTCATGTTTTCAAATTTCTTAAATATCTTAATGCATGAGTAAATATATTACTTAATTTGTTTATCCTTTAATGGTTTTTGTATTACTGTTCTAAAGCATGCAATTTAAACTTTACCTAATTGCTTTTAAGAATTAGAGTATATGTAGTAAATGATTGTAAAGTCATGTTGTTTTTAAAAATATACCTAAGTTAAAGTTTACTTTGAAAAATAATAGAACGATTGTATGAAGACTGTATGAAGATTATATATAGTCAATGTAATTTTAATATTTTCTATTAGCATAACTTTTTTCTCTTTAAATTAATAATTGGTATACATGTATTTTTTATGAAGTGATATTCTTTTTTATTTTAATGTAACTTATAATTGCATCCAGTTTTTGGTAGGTGCAGATTGTTGTAGAAAAAAAGCAGTAATCAAGTAGTCATAATCTATTTTTTTCAGGGAAAAGGGGAAATGTCTTACTAAACAGTTATATTCCTTTGTACAGTTAGAAAGCATTACAGAAAAATAAGTCTGTACTATCATTTTTACACTGACTGATTTGTGCAATTGCCTGACTAAAAAGTGGGAAGTAGGTCAGAAGCCAGTGTCTGCACAGCCTGTTGTTCGGAGACTCAACTCAGGCAAGAGTGCACAATGCATGTACTGGTTACCTGAGGCCACTGGTTTGGTCCTGCAGAAGGAGAAGCCCCAGTGTGCTCTCTGTCTAAGGGCCACTGTAAGTTGGTTTGTTTGATAGTGTTGACTGAAAAGTAATCAGACTTGTAACGTAATCAGGGGAGTGTTTATCTGAATCAGGAATCATGATTTAAATGCAGAGTCAAGAGGTAATCCCAGGGAGTATGTACCAGGGTGAGACCATGGAGGAATTTTAAGGGGCCACACAAGGTGGGGGTGGCGGTTTAAGTGTATGTCATTTGTTTTGAAAGTTTTGGGTTTGTTGACAGTAGTCTTCTGTCACAAAACTGCAGTGTGTTTTTTTTTTTTTTTTTTTTTTTATAAGAACAACAGATGATCTCTGTTTTTCTCCTAAACATCTATAAGCCAGAGAAAAGAGATACTGTTCTTTTGTTGTCAGTTGCTGCCTCAGTAATTTACCCAGAAGTCTCAACATGGCAGTTAGAGACAAGGTGGGGGCTGTTGGCCCAGAGCACATGCCACAGTGGGCTGGGCCAAGTCTTGTGCACTCTTTTAAGTTGATCTTGTTGACCTGGATGAATGGTGTGTTAAGCAATGAATGGAACTACAGATTATTTTTTCCTGTCCAGGAACAGTGGCACAAACAGCTTTAAGATCACTAATACTCTTGTTGTGGTCATGACTCAAGCGAACACAAGCTTTACAAACTGCTAGATTCAGCTCTGCCTACACACCCAGTGACTGGCTGGTTGCCTGATTATGTGGCTTACCAGTGTTCATGCCAGCCCTTTCTGTCCAGTGGTTTGGTGGTCATATTTCACAGCTAGGGCTATGACTCATGAGCTTGCCTGGGTGGGACTGAGAAGAGTCCACATGGACTTCTTCATTTTCCTGACAAAGATTATCACGGGGAGAGGTCTGGAGCAAGATGCACAGTGGGGAATGAAGACTGTGCCCCCTCCCCCCACCTTTTGCCTGGGTGTGGGATGTATTCTGTCCAGGATGGTTCCAGAGTTGGGAAAACTACTTTTTTGAGACCCAGATTGGACAGATCTGTGCCCTGATCAGTTCCTTGGGCCGGTTGTGCCACCAGCTTGCTTATGCAGGTGAGCAAATCTGCTGCTTGGGACTACTTCCTGGGCTGTACAGTTACACATTCATTTGTGCCAAGAGCCGGGTGTTGGTTGTTGGAAACCCATTATGCTTTTTCCATAATAGGAGGTTCACAGAGGTTGCACCCTACAGATTCTCTTGTGATCCCCATGGTGCAAAATTGGAGTAGGTTCTTCCACACAGCACCTACAATGCTGAAGGAACATTATGTCAATATTATACTTCTTTTCTCTCTGGAAGGACCAGAGGTTCAGGATGAGATCTCTTGGCAGGGTGCTGCACCATCTTGTGTTTTTGTTATTATTTCTGACATATTTTTCTGTGTTTTCAATAATTCCATGAATTCTGTCACTTCCTCTTTTAGGTCTTCTATTGTTCAGCTATTTTCTATTCTGAGGTTTGAAGGTTTTAATTCATGTTACTCTCTTATAATAGATTTATAATTTAATTTATATAATATTCAAATGCTTTATTTTAACTGTGCTTCATAAATTTATTCATTTTTTTGGTATATCTCCTTCTGTCAAATAGCTTAATGGTCATTCCCCCCCCCCTCCGTTTTATCAAAATAATGACATGATGAGATGACATCTATAACCTTTACTATGGATTCTTACATTAATATATTTATGATTAGTAAGTTAGCTATCTAGATCTGGGATAAAATCTATATGATTGTGTTTATCCTTTTTATTTTTCCTGGATTTATTTTCTAGCTTATTTTTTAATTGTTTTATATTTATGTTCATGGATGAGCTTGATGAGCAATTTTCCTTTCTTGTAATATAGCAATCCTTTTAAAATTTTTTAATAAGTCATATAAAGCTGTTGGGAATAATACCTGTAATTTTCTCTAAGAGATTGTTTATATCTTAATTTTATCATGAAATTTGCATAGTTGTTCACAATATAATACAGTGATATGTAAAATGTATATTTGCTAATTTCACATTTTTCATTTTTGACATAGATCTTTTGTGATCCATTAGTGTTTTCAAAGAACCAACTTTGTATATCATCTAGACTATACGCTATATAAAATTATAAAAATCTGTTTTTATTCTGGCTCATTTCTTTTTGACTGGTCTTTGTACTTTAAATTTTTGTGATGGAATATTAGTCAATAATGGTTAGTATTTCATGTATTTATGTTAATACTAAATTTTTCTATGCTTAACTTTATATAAGTTTGATATGTAATATCCATATTTTCTTATTTCTCTGTGATCCCTAGTTTTACTTTTGATTACTTAGTAGTTTATTGTTAATTTCCAAACAAATATCTTTGCTGCTATCTTGTCATTGATTTGTATTATAGCTCAAATTTTTTCTTTGCTTTTAATCTCTGCAGTTTAAATTTAGTATGTTACATAAACATAAATATATATATATATTTATGTATTTACTATATTGAGAATTTTTAGGCAGAATCTATAATCTATGCATTACTAGTTTTCATCAGTTATGGAAGTTTTACTGGCATTATAATTGTTATTCTTTAATTTATGAAAGTGAAGTATAGAGTTCGTTAAATGTTTGAGAAAATGATGACTATATTGCCTTCAAGATGTTTCTGTTGCTCCAATGACAAATTATTTGTTGGCTACTAACCCTTTTTTTAAATTAAGAATTTACTTTGTAATAACAGTTTTAAGCTCATAGCAAAATTGAAAGAAGCTTACAGCTATTTCCCCGAACACCACACTCCCTCACACAGGGGGAGCCTCCCGTGTTATCAGCGACTCCCACCAGTGTGGGGGTTTGTTATAATTGATAAACCTACACTGCCATATCATAAACACACAAGGTCCATAGTTTATTTTGAAGTTCACCTCAGTGATACTTATTCTGTTGGTTCATTAGCTTTTCAACTATTTTGCTTTGGCTCTCTTTTCTCTTTCCGGAACCCAGTTAAGCATACTTTGAACACTCTTAACAAATGTTCTGTAATCCCTGATCTTAGTTTCTCCCTTTTCTTCATGCTACATTTGGTATTTTCTTATATCAATTCACTAGTAATGTGATGTCAGCTGTTTCTAAACTACTGTTAACATCTTCTATATGTTAACATTTTTGTCACTTCTTGATTCTAGAATTTCAGTTGTTTTGTCATATCAGCTAAATTATTTAAATTTATCTATGACATAACCATGGTGTTTATATATTTGTTTAAATGCACTTAGAGTAAAACTTTAAAGTAAATATAAAATGAATTAGGGTAAAAATATAATCTGAACAGCTTTATTTTAACTAATACTACCCTTTCTTTCCTTTTCATCAGGTTCTTCTGTAATTCCACTAGTATTTCTCATAAAAAACAGACATATAACTCAATTTTACTTTTATTAATAGAGTATGTTATGAGCCATACTGTAGTTTTTTTTATACTTAAAAATTTTAAGTATAATTACATGTGTGTCTGATTGTATGTGGAAACAACTGTTGGCTTACTGCCTTCTGACACTCCTTTTAATTCTCATTTATGGTATATATTTTCTCCTCTTGAATCTAACTGTCAATAATTTTATTTCAGTCATTTAAAATCATTTGTATATTAGGAAGTAGGACAATTTTATGGCACGGTGAAGATGCTGGGCTCATCTTCTCCATCTACTCAAAACTAAATTACAGTAGGACAAAAGTCTTGGAGGAAAGTCTGACAACCCCTTCATGTATGCTTCTAGGATGTACTACTTCCAAATCTGAGTGAAAAATATCACCAGTGAGAACATGAGAGGATGAAAGAGGCCCTTGGCTGCTGGGGAATATTTGGTCCAACTTGATACTTTCATGTACCAAGAATCTCTTTATCTTATATAATTTCCAACCTACTTTCCATGAAAGTGGAGAGATTTAGGCACTCTACCATGGCGTGCATAATCAATAATGCACAACCTCCAAAAGAAAGACAGTTGTAGAAGTAGAGAGTCCAGAAAAAAACCTCACAGATACACAGTCAACTATTATTTGTCAAAGGCACCAAAGATACACAGTAGTCAATGAAAAATGTCATTAATAACTAGGCTGGGAAAATTGGATAGTCACATGTAAAAGAATGTACAATACACAAAAATTAGTTCAAAATGGATTACAGACTTATAGATAATGTCTGAAACCATAAATTTCTTAGAACAAAACAGGGAGAAATCTCCTTGACATTGGTCTTAGCAGTCAAAATATAAACAAACAAACAAATGGGACTATATCAAACAAAATGGCTTCTGCGCCACAAAAGGAACAACCATCAAATTAAAAGACAACATATTTCCCAACCACATATATGAATTATATGTATTTTACAAAATATGTAAAGAACTCACACAGCTCAATAACAGCACAAAAATTTCATCCTGATAAAAAAACAGGCAAAGGATCTGAGGGAATAGACATTTTCCAAGGAAGATGTACAAGTGGCTGTCAAGTATATGAAAAGATGCTTAACATTACTACTAATTGTGAAATGCATGTCAAAAATCACAGTAAGGTATTTTCTCATACCTGTGGAATTACTGTTACCAAAATGACAAGAGATAACCAGTGCAGGTGAGCATGTGGAGAAAAGAAATCCTGTTAACACTATTGTCAGGAAAGCAAATTACTATAGCCATTAAGAGGTTTCTCAAAATTAAAAACAGAAGTAGCGTAAGATTGAGCAGCCCTATTTCTGACCATATAGTCAAAGGAATGAAAACAGTATCTTGAAAAAAATATCTGCACTCTCATGTACTTGGGATATTTTTCAGACCAGTCAAGATAGAGAACAATCTTAGTGTCCATACAGGTGTGAATGGAAGGAAAAAGAAAAACAAAGAGAAGAAATTCTGTTTTTTTGAGACAACATGGATGAATCTGAAAAACACTATCTATCAAAATCTAGAATCCATAGTTTGCTCTAAGGTTCAATCTTGGTTTTGTACATTCCATGGATATAGACAAATACATACCCTCCGTTATGGTATCATCCTGAGTATTTTCTCTGGCCTAAATTTTTTCTGTTCTCTGCCTATTAATTTTTTCCTACCTCCCGCAGCTATTGTTCCTTTTATTGTCCCATAATTTTTCTTTTCGCAGAATAACATAGAGTTATAAACATTGAATGCAACCTTTTCAGATAGGGTTATTTCACTTAGTAACAGAAGTTTACATTTTTTTTTTATTACTTGATAATCAGCACTTATTTTTAGTGCTGAGTGAATAATATTCCACTGTCTGTGGGTAATATGGTACATTCATAAATTGTACCACAGTGTATTTATCTATCCATTTACTAACTGAAGTGTTTTGTAGTTGTGTGCAAGTTTTAACAGTTATGAATAAAGCTATTATAATCCATGTGCATTAATTGGAAATAACTTAAAGGAGAAAAATAACTATTGAGGTTGTATTTTATCTTTTGCTACATAACTGATAATACTAAACTTAGCAAGTGGTAAGAACACAATTCTGTGGGTTAGAAACCTAGAGCAGCCTAGTAAGTGAGATCAGGGTCTAGCTAGGGTTGTAGTTTTCTCTCCCATGAGAGGGAAGATTTGCTGACAAGCCAAGTAAATTTGTTTTCAAGCTCACTCACGTGCTCCTGAACATGACACAGCAGCTGGCTTCCCTAAGAGTGGGCAGGAAGGAGTGAGAATGGAAGCCAAGAAATTTGTTTTTTTATAAGTCCCCTTGGAAATGTTGCTCCATCATCTCTGCTATATTCAGTTAACTTAAAGTCAAGAAGTTCAGTCTATACTTACTGGAATAGGAAAGCACAAGGACATAAATATCAGAAGGCAGGCATCATTGGAGCCCATTTTAGAGACCACCTACTACAAAAGGAATGCAGAATTAATTAAGTCCAAATGTTAGCCGAATTTTTTTTAAGCCATAAAATGTGGTATTTAAGGCCATTACATTTGCTAAGATAACTAGTATTGGCTTAAGTAGTAGTATTTTGAAATCAATGTGCATGTTTCTCTATCTTTAATATATTTATCATACACTTTAGTTATAACTGCATAATATATCTTGGATGCATTTATGAATTTTAAAAATGAGTATAATATGGTCACTTTTTAGTTATGGTAAGCAATGTTTTATTTAAAATAATTGAGTGACTCTTTTTCTTTTCTTGTATGTAGTATCCAGAGGGCTTGTCTTTGGAGTCATATACTGTCAGTATTGTGCAGTTACTTGGCCTTAATTTGGGATTAACTTATGACAATAGTGATAGCACCTGCTACTGTTCAGGAGATGTTTGCATAATGTCACCAGAAGCACTGTAAGATAATTTTCTATATTAAGTACACATATTCCTTTCTTCTTCTTTCTGGTTAGGAAATCATTACTTCTATTAAGGAATACTATACTACAGTACTATAATACTTCCATTACATGCATAACTGCAGAATATACTTTTCTTTTCAAGTGCAATGGATTACGTGCCAAAATAGTCCTGCTACTCCCCCAGGTTGTCCATACCTAGGAGCACACTCTTCCACCTTACAGCCTTCCTGAAACTGACTTCTATTTTTTTCTGTTGATCATATTGAGGGACACTTCCAGAGGCATGCCATGTGAATTGCTTAATTTCTGTGATTCCATATAAAGTTGAATGCATTCATATGAAGCTGACATTGTACAAATATAGTCCATTTTAATAATTCAAACATAAGTTTTAAGAGTTTAAGTTGTTTGGATAAAATTTGTATTTTCTCATATTGTTGTTCACCTTTGTACTCGGCTCAGGTGTAGCCCCCCGAAATCTCCAACCACCACATCATCTGTGAGGTATCACCCTGGTCTGTGGTGCTCTTCCCTCATCTGTTTTGACCCATCTCCCCCCACCCCCACCTTTATGTCTCATATCTTTAGTTTGCCTATACATTTTCTCTCTTTTTGACCCTACTTATATTCCGTCTGTAAGTGAAGCCATCAATATTTTTCTTTTTCCTTCTGACTTATTTTGCTGAGTGTAATACCTTCTAGCTCCATGCATGTTGCTGAGAATGGCATGAGTTTGTCTTTTTTGATTGCTGACTAGTGTTCCATGGTGTTTATATACAACATCGTCTTGATCCTTTCATCTGTTTTTGGGTATTTAAGTTGTTTCCGTATCTTAGCTATTGAAAACAGTGCTTCAATAAGTATAGTGCAAGTTTCCTTTCGAATTAATGGTTTTGTGTCTTTTGGGTAGATTGCTAGGAGTGGAGTCACTGAGACATATGGTAGCTCCATTCTTAGTAGTTTGAGGAAACTCCCCACAACTTTTCATAGTGGTTGGGCCAATTTGCATTCCCACCAGCTGCGAAGAGGATTCTGTTTTCTCCACATCTTCAAAAGCATTTGCTGCTTTTTTTTTTTTTTTTTTAACATGGGCCATCTTCACCAGTGTGAGGTGTTCTCTCATTGTGGCTTTGATACACAGTTCCCTGATTATAAGTGAGCCTGAGCATTTTTTTCATATGCCTGTTGGCCATTTCCTCTTTGGAGAAGTGTCTGTTTAGGTCTACTGCTGATGTTTTGACTGGGTTGTTTGCTTTCTTCTTGGTGAGTTGTCTTAGCACTTCACAGCTATTTGATATCAGTTCCTTATCCCATTGTGCGAGTGGAAATATTTTCTCCCATCTGTTTGTCTCTTCATTTTGGTTAATGTCTCTTTGTTTTACAGAAATGTTTTAGTTTAGTGTTGTACCTTTGTTTTCTTCAAGGCACTTTAAGGCTTCAAGCATTACATTCAAGCCTTTTATTTATTTTGAGTTGGTTTTTGTGTATGGTGTGAGGTGACAGTCTAGTTTCATTCATTTGCATCTAGTGGTCCAGTTTCCCCAGCACCATTTCTTGAAGCGAATTTCCTTCTTCTAATGTACATGTTTGGTTCTTTACCATAGATTAGTTGCCCATTTATGTATGGCTTTATTTTTGGATTTTTTAACTCAATTGCTTGGGTCTGCATGTCTGTTTTTGCCCCTGTTTTGATTACCGTGGTTTTGTAGTATAGTGTGAAGTCTGGGAGTGTAGCACTTCCATTCTTCCTCTTTTCTTCATTTCTTCTTCTTTAGACTGATTGTTTATGAGAGGGCTTCTGATTTTTTTTTTTTTGTTGTTGTTGTTGATTTTGTAACCTACTTTACTGGACTGGTTTATTGTTTTAGTTGCTTTTTCTGTGGCATTGCTAGTGTTCTCTCTATATATTATCATGTTGTCTGTATATAGTGAAAGTTTTATTGCTTCTTTGTTATATGTCTTTCCTAATTGCTCTAGCTTGGATTTCCAGTATTACATTGAAAAGCAGTGGTGAGAGTAGATATCCTTGTCTTGTTCAAGATTTTAAAAGGAAGCTTTAAGTTTTTCACCATTAAGCATATTTGCTGTGAGTTTATCATATATAGCTTTTATTATATTAAGGTATCTTCTTTCCATCCCCCAAATTTCAAGGTCCCTAATTATAAATGGATGTAGAACTTTATCAGATGTTTTCTCAGCATCTATAATGTGATCATATGGTTTTTACTTTCTTTTGTTGATGTGGTGGATTATATCAATTCACTTTCTAGTATTTAGCTGTATACATATGTGCTAGTAATGTGCTCACAGCTCATCAGGACAGGCCTTCCTACATCCCAGAACCACTTGTCCTCTAGTTTATGTCAATCAACAGTGTCTCTTCAGCCTTACACAGCTACTCCCTGATAAGCCTCACGTGATCATGCCTTATACATGCCTGCTAGATTCTCAACCCAGGAATTCTTTGAGTACCCTATGGATTTTTAGGATCTCCTCTGTATAATTTTTTTTCTACCTGATCCTTTATCTCAGAGATTCCAATTATTTCTGTGGTCCCCAAATTCTAAAGTCCATCTTCTGGCTCACTGTACTTGTGGAAAATTGTTCTCAAAAATATAGATGTATCTCACCTAATAATTTCCTTCTCTCAGCAATTGCCATCTTTTTATCTAATACCTGAAAACAATGGAAAATACCTGAAAATGATGGCACATATGAGGTTTTTTTTTTTTTCAGTTTAGTTTTAGAATTGATTTTGCTGTGTATAGGTATGGTGGTAGTGTTGTCAGTGTGATTCTGCTCCTGGTGACTGTTGGTAGTAGCATAGAATTAGCAGCTGGAAGACCAGTTCTTTGGCAAATTATTATTAGCAGAAGCTCAACTGATCTACACTGGTGGCATTTTTGACAAATTCCAATTTGAAGTCATGAAAAGAACAAGCATATCCATGGTGACTTTTGTTGCTAAATTGTGGTTCTGTAATGACTGACTTTTGTTTGCTGTCTTTCGTTGGATAAAAAATATAATATATCCAACTAATATGTTCCTCTAGTCCTGGAGCCCCCAACTAGCTTGTGCAGTCTTTCACCCTTGCAGAGTTCTCCTTAGCTTGCTGCTTGCATTACTTTAACGAGCTTACATGTATATTTAGTTAAGAGAAGCAGGGACTTTGTCTATACCATCTTGTCTGATGGGAAGTGTATATTTTTATTTGAAAAATATTTTGGTTATGGAGAGCAAAAACTCTAAAGTATACTGTCAAAATTATTACAAGCCTTTATAAAAGGCTTTTATAAAAAAACAGAATTATACTAATTGATAAAAAACTAGAAGATTTAAAACAAATTTAAAATTCACTTGTTTGGCACTGTTACTATATTTAAAGATTTAATGAATGTGTAGCATAGGTAAATAATAGGTAAATAATCGGTAAATAATGAGTCTTTTTTAAAGTAGGATAAAAAGTGGGGGAAACCCTATACCTTTAAAGGACAAACAGTGTTGTAAAACGTTATTACATACATAAAAATAAATAGGATATATACCATCAAAAGATTTGGGATTTTTCATTATAAAAATTTTCTTGTTGAAATTTGAAGTGTCTTAAAATGTATTAACAATAAAATACACATTTTAAAAAGTGTTCTTACTGCTTTCCATGAGGAATAATGCTTTATAATTCTCTTAAAATACTCCATACATTAGTGGTAAATGTAGAGATAAGCAGCAAAACTTTTTGTCATACTGTGTCTTTTATAATTTAGGTACTCTGGGGGTATAAAAGAATTTAGCACCTGTAATGTCAATGACTTTTACTATTTTGGTTCACATCATGGCTTTGAATGTCTGCACAAAATTCCTCCTAATGTCCCCGTTTACAGACAAAAAAATAGTATATGTGGCAATGGAATACTGGAAATAAGTGAACAGTGTGATTGTGGCACTGCAAAGGTTAGTAGAAATCTTTTTCAAATAGTTTTATTACGTATGTTTGTGCATAGTTGGTGGAAAATAACATAAAAACCATGTCTTTCAGCAGAATAAAGGTTCAAAAGACCTCTCTTGGGAGAGATGGAAGGGTTTAAGCTGCTAATTTTGCTGGCTTTTGAAGTAGAGAGCAAAAGTTCTCTATATGAGATTGGTATTCAAATATTGATTTTTGTCAGTCTTTACTAAGAAATAAATTCCAAATGTATAATCAGCGACCACAAAAAGTTATGAAAGTGAAACAGGGGCTGCCAAAGCAGGAGGGTGGGTACCAGAATGGCTGGAATGAGGATGTTTGCCCAAGCTTTGGATAGTCACCAAAAAGCTCCAGAAGGCCAAAAGCCAAAACCAAGGGCTATAGCATTCTGATATCTGTACAATAGGGGCTTGTGGGCTATAGCTGAACATAGGACAGTGTCTGATAGAGGACAGGTCATTATCTGTGGGTTCTCACCTGCATTCACCATTGCAAGAGAACTCAGGCTCAGAGAACAATCACGGTAGAGTTTATTTTACAACAGCAGGAACACATTGCTGAATAGCCACAAGTGGCCAGTTATCTCATCCCAGATCCACTAGGATACAGATGTAAGCAGAGTATTGGTCATCTGTCAATAGACCTGAGCAGCACTGGCCAGTAGTGATGGCCACTACTGGTCCCCCAGAGGCAATGTCAGAGACACCAAGTGTTAACAGCTCTTTGTGAGTTGTTGGACCACACCAACAACAAACAGCTCTTTGAGGCACCAGGCCCAGGGCCTTTAGTGCTCCTTTGAGGTGATGTCAGAAATAGGACTGGAGGCTCAGTGACTGGCAGGTCTTTGGCTTCTTCTCCTCTTTTAGAGGTCGGCTAGTGGATGGTACTTATTTGTTACTTTCAAGGTCAGCTTCTGGCCCTCCTCTTCAGCTTTCTCAGACCCTGGCTCATATGCTTTTTCAGGGTGCTCTGTCTACAAGTCTAACTTGCTCATTTTTCAATACTGTGGCTGATTGGACCATTTAGCACCAATCAGGTCATAGTTCACTCCTGACTGGTCCATTCCACAATCCCACAAGTAAGTTTGTATAAAAGGGAGGTTTCTGGGATCTGAGAAGCTACTATGGGGCTTTTAAGGGAGGAAACTATGAAAGTGAGAAAGGTATGACAGTTTCACATTATAGAATCTCTTATTCTGAATAGATTTGGTGTGTATGATTTATGATAAAGGCAAAAATATAAGAAAATAGGATAATGGTAGTCACTGAGATGTGTAATAGCTGTTTCCTCTAGTATGTTCCATAGTATGTTGATATGGTATAGAGGTTCAAATAGAAGGAAGTGAAATAATCCATTTTATATAAACTTGTGAATATGTAATTAATTTAAATTTCATATAAAGGATAGGACTACTGAATGATTTTTAGAAAAGTTTTGTACTTTATAAAGCAGTTCTGTGTTGTAGTTTTATTTGAGGACAAATAGTCATTGAGATTAATGCAACATTTATTTATAGAATTGTTCACACAAAGCCTGCTGTGATGCTACATTATGTACATTGAAAAATAAAGCAGAATGTGGTTCTGGGGAATGCTGTACACAAGATTGCAAGGTAAGAGGCTATCAACAATTTTTAGTAGCTCATCATTAAATTTCTTGAAATGTTTTTTCAAGGAATTGGAAAACATCATCAATACCATATTCAGTTCTTTTTATTATATTTTCCCTAGCAACATTGAACTTACTCATTCTTCAGCCTTTTCGTTAACTGTCATTTTCAGGACCCTCATGTATATAATGCCTGATCTCTTCCCAACTTCATTCCTGTTTCTATACGTCACTGCAAATCTTTCCCTGACACTTTGAGGTATTCTTTTGTAGAAGTTTTCAGTTATATAAATAATGGTTTTCAAATATAAACATCATACTGTACATAATTTTCTCAGATTTACTTATTTTATAGTTGAAAGCTTGTATCCTCAAACAGCTTCTATTTCCTCCTCTTGTTTCCACGATCAATTTGTTTTGCTGAGTTTGGGTTTTCAGATATAAGTGAGATATGCACTCTTGTCTAATTCATTTCACTTAGTGTAATGCCTTTGAATTTCATTTGTATTGTTGCATTAGGCAGGATTCTCTTCTTTTTTATGGCTGAATATTGTTCTGTCGGGTACATACAGGACATTTTTTTCTTAGCACTCGTCCATTAGTGGGCGCTTACGGCACTTGGTTGCTGTGAGCAATGCTGAAGCCATGATGGGATGCAGGTTATGTCACCTGCTTCAGTTGTATACCTAGCAATGGGATTGTTGGATGGGTGATAGTTCTATTTTTAATTTTTTGAAGAATCTGTACTTTGTTGTCCATGGTGGTCTGTTTCTAGGAATTTATTTCTCCTTGGGTATTTAATGTGTCAGCATAAAAAATGTTCGTAATAGCCACTAATGATCATTTTTGTGCATATGTAATATATGTGTACTTATTTTATGTACCTATATATACATACACACACATGTAATCAGTTTTAGGGTTTTCCTTTTAGTCATCATTTCATTCTATTGAGTCCTATCTCTCTTTATTTGTTAGTCTAGCTAAAGGTTTACCCTTTAGTTTATTTAAAAAAAAATTAAGTAAAAGGCAGCCCTTAGTTTCACTGATTATTTTTTTGTATGTCCTTCTAATTTTTCTTCCAGAATATGATTATTTTCATCTATATTGGGATCCATATTAAAGATTTTTTTCTCATCATTCCAAGCTATCAGAAGGTCTTGGGGTAACATAATCCTAAATTCAAATTCAGTGGTAACTTAGTGAACTCTGTCTTAGTATTCTCATTGTTCTGGCCTGCACTTTATCTTACGTTTTTAAAATACTTTTTTTTTTTAAATTAACATTTGTTACAACAGTATATGATTGAGAAATATAGGATTACATTTCTTCAGCTGGTCCCGAAACACTCCCCCATCAGTGGCATCTGTATTTTGGCTATTGTAAGCAGTGCTGCAGTAAACATAGGAGTGCAAGTTTCCTTTTGAGTTTGTGTTTTTGTGTTCCTTTGCCTCAACATAATACTAGAAATTTCTGGTCACTTGGCAGAGCCATTTTTAGCCTTTTGAGAAACCTCTAAAAGGCTGCACCAGATTTATGCCCACCAATATTGTAAAGTGGTCTCTTTTCCTCCACTCCCTAGTCAGCATTATTATTCCTGGTCTTTTTGATAAGGACTGTTCTTACTGATGTGAGATGGTACCTCATTATGGCCTTATTTGCATTTTCCTGATAAATGATGATGCAAAGTTTTTCAGGTGCACGTTGGCCTTCTACTTCTGTTCTCTGAAAAAGTGCCTATGTAATGCCTCTGCCACGTGTTGATTGGGTCACCTGTTTACTTTTTGTTGATTTGTATATGTTCTTTGTAGGTTTTTTATATTAATCCCTTATCATATGTGCATTGTGCAAATATTTTCTCCCATTCAGTAGGGTGTCTTTTTGTTTTAGTTAATGTTCTCTCTGTGCAGAAATATTTTAGTTTGATGTGGTCCCAATTGTTTTTATTTTCTTTTGTTTTCCTTTCTTCGGGGGATGAATCTGCAAAGATATCTCTGGAGTTTATGTCATGGAGTGTTTTGCCTGTCTTTTCTTCTGTATATTTTATGGTTTCAGTTCTTATATTCCAAGTCTTTTATCCATTTTGAGTTACTGGAGTCTGAGTCAGTTAATATATGTGGTGATGCATACATTGGTTGCTGTGAGTAACCACCCCTTTTCCTTCTTCCTATATGTGTGTAGACTATTCAGCTGGACCGATTCACTCAGTCTTCTGGTTTGGGCAGGAAAAAAGATGGCTTTTTGTGTTGGGTATCACAGTGTTGAGGAACCCAGTTCTCATGTCATTTTCACTTACTCATGTTAGAGAAATCACAGGCAAAAGTGGTCTCTCCTGTCATTGAACTGTATAATGTTGGGAGTCTCAAGAACTTATGTGGACACAGTGAAACTGTTCTTAGCTTCTTTGGTGTTACTATTCTCACATTTTTTGCTTTACCAGGGGACTGGAAATATTAGTTGAATTACTGAGTTTCCATAAAGTTAGTCTCATCCATGGTGTTTCTGGTGAATATGCATTTTGCAATTTCCTGTTTTGTTATCTTACTGATATTACTCTCTCTGTTTTTCCTTTATTGGAGATGTTATATAAATAAAATATTATTCATTAAGTATAGTTAAAGAACCTAATAACCCATTGAACACAAGCAGTACAACAGATTATTTAATTTTCTGTTATCATTATACTGAGAGAGTAACTTTTCTACTGTATAAGTCATATTCATAAATTTACAGGAAAATATGAAAAACTTTGCTATTGAAATTGGTTGGAGTTGTGATATTCATTGGTACCTCATCCCAAATATGAAAAATGAAAATGCCACAATTTTTTCTAGTATTTACAGTGTTATCATTATTAAGTAGGCTAGACTTGTGTGGTAGTTAGAAGTAATAATTTATCCAAACCTGTTTCCATTTTGTAAAGGAACATAGCCCTAACCATGAATTATATATTGATATATTTAGACTGAAAGTCTTAGCAAAAAAATAAAAATAATTAAAAACTAAAACAAGAAGATTTCAATAGAAAATAATTAGAAACAGAAAAATGAACAATTTTAAAGTTAGGTTCATTGGAGAATTTGAGAGCCAAGGGGGGAAAAAAAATGAGTAGTGGAAGGAGCCATAATATGATAAAGCTTGATTCAGAGAACATTGGGAACTAGTTATTTATAAATATTGAAAAAGAATTTGGGTGAAAGGAGCCAGTCTTGAAAGGATCATACATTCTGTATGATCTCAACTATTCTAATATCCAAAAAAGGCAAAACTATGGGGAGGATAAAAAGATCTGTGGTTGCCAGGGACTTTAGGGGAGGCAAATTTGTAGAGCATGGGGATTTTTAGTAAGGCAGTAAAAATACTTCGTATGACACACTAATGGCGGGTACATGTCATTATTGTTCAAACCCACTTTAATGTTAACTATGGGTTTTGAATGATTGTGACATGTCAATATAAGTTCATCAGTTGTAACAAGTGTAATAAATGTAACACTCTAGAGGGAAGTGTTGATAATGAGGGAAGCTTTGCTTGTCTGGGGCTAGGGGATGTGGCAAATCTCTGTACCTGCACCTCATATTTGCTATGGATTTTCAACTGCTTAAAACTGGTCTCAGGCCCTCCCTGGTGGCGCGGCGGGTTAAAGCACAGCACAAAGAAGCTTAAACCACTTCCACATGAGTTCGATCCCGCCTGCCCCGGAGGTGACACATGGCGTGGCAGACCTCTCCTGACCCGCTCACTGCTCCCCTCAGCAGTGTACTTCGTCAATCTGCCTGTTCTGCTCCCCGCTCTGTCTCTGGTGAATCCTCTCACCCTCTGCATCTCTGACCTGTACCCCAGTTCTGTACGAATAAATAAATAAATCTAAAAAAAAAAAAACTGGTCTCAATAAAAACTGAAATTTGAAAAGAAGTTAACATTGCCATTCATACAAAAATGTTTGTGAAATGAAGCATGTTCTGAAGACATATGTATTAATAATTTCTCTTTAGGGTTCTATGTGTATTTATAAACAATTTTTATGATTTGATTTAGATGTTTACTCTGTTAACAGTCTAATGACACAAGTTAAAAGTGTAGTTTTTGTGTTTTCACCCACCCAGCACTTGATGACCTTGTGTCACAATGATGAAAATATGAAGGAAAAGTTTATAGAAAAACAATTTTGATTAGGTGAATGTTCTATAAAGTGGGTTTGTAGTGTATTTAACAGCTAGAAAAATTGGACTGAATTTGCTTATGATTGATGATAGCCTTGAGGAATTGAGACTTGGAGGAAAAGAATGTTTGCTGTGATGATATTTAATGTTTCTTAGCAAAAGCAGGTTACAGATAGGCAGCCAGAGGAGCTATCAGCTAAAGGGCAAGTGATGTCAAGACCAGAGGGGATGGGAGGGTTTTCTTTTCACAATTTTTTTTTTTAGATTTTATTTATTTATGCATACAGAACTGGGGTACAGGCCAGAGGTGCGGGGGGTGAGAGGTTTCACCAGAGACAGAACAGGTAGATCAATGAGGTACACTGCTGAGGGGAGCAGTGGGCTGGCCAGGAGAGGTCTGCCACGCCATATGGTCACCTCCAGGGTGCGGAATCCATTTGCACTGAAGCAGCTGCAGCCCATTTTGCAGTGCTGTGTCCTAACCCAGGGAGGGCCTCACAGTTGTTTTTAATGCGGTTTGTGAAATAAACTTTTTCTTGTGTGTTCTTAAATTATCTTTTAAAATCTATAAACATCTTTCTTAAATACTTACGATGTATATTTATTGTTTTAAATAATCATTTCTGCTTTAAGGATAGTGTTTGGAGAAACCAGAGATTTGTCTGTGTAAACACCACCATCATGGGTTGAAAATTTTATCTATTAATTTCATTGTTCTACTTTGTCTTTCTTTCTTTTTTTTAAAATTATGGTAGTCTGCATGAGTTTCTCCTTTCTATCAGAAGTATTGCCTACTCCTTTATGCACAATAAGTTCAGTCACCAAGATTTCTAAGCATTGTTTAAGTAGTTAAGGAGATAACTTATTTTTCTCATGTTCTTTATGACTTAGGGGAAAAAAATCACCCCAAAATTTAAAGTCTTAAGAAAAAGAAAACTTGGCCCTCCCTGGTGGCACAGCAGGTTAAAGCACTGCACTAAGAAGCTAAAGCCACTTCAGTATGAGTTCAAGGCCCGCCTGCCCTGGAGCTGACCCAAATGGCACAACAGACCTCTCCTGACCCGCCCGCTGCTCCCCTCAGCAGTGTACTTCCTTGATCTGCCTGTTCTGCTCCCCACTCTGTCTATGGTGAATCCTCTTACCCTCCGCACCACTGACCTGCACCCCAGCTCTGTATGCATAAATAATCTTAAAAAAAAAAGAGAGAAAGAAACTAAGAAACTTAAATACAATTGATATATAATTTTTTCTTCTGTTCCTCTCCCAGCTAAAACCAGTTGGTGTGATGTGTAGGAAATCCTTTGATGTGGAATGTGATTTTGCTGAATATTGTAATGGAAAATCTCCAGTCTGTGTGGCTGACACGTATGCCCTCAATGGAGTAAAATGTGATTCCGGTGACTCCTTCTGTTACAATGGCCGATGCCGAGTATTTAACAAACAATGTAAAAGGTTAATTGGAGGAGGTAATAACGATTTTCTCCTCAGTTTCTAAATTTTCTTTATTTCAAGATGTGTTTGTCAATTCTCTAACAAAAGGTAAATATAATTTGTATTGAGTGTATTGTTGCCTAATATGTACTAGTATTAAAGTAAATCACAATTTTCTTCATTCTGAAAAAGAAAAAAATTCATAATTTATATGGAGCTCTCTTTTACAAGGAAAAAACATCAAATGAAAATGCAATTTCTTGTAAGTCTTAAATGAAACAAAACAGGGCTAATCATTGATTGGTTAGATTTTAAGAATGGGTATATTGGCCCTCCCTGGTGATGCAGCAGGTTAAAGCACTGTACTAAGAAGCTTAAGCCACTTCCGCTTGAGTTCGATACCCTCCTGCCCCAGAGGAGATCCACATGGCGAGGCAGACAGACCTCTCCTGATCCGCCCGCTGCCCCCTTCAGCAGTGTACTTCATCGATCTGCCTGTTCTGCTCCCCACTCCTTCCCTGGTGAATCCTCTCACCCTCCGCATCTCTGGCCTGTACCCCAGTTCTGTATGAATAAATAAATCTTTAAAAAAAAGAATGGGTATATTAAAAGGCCTTTGCTGGTAAGTGAGGGCTTTAGCTTTTGATGTGTATAGTCCAGTTTTATAGCTTTCTATAAATATATACATTATTAATTTTATTGAAATATGGAATTTTCTGCACATATGAAAATATGCACAGAGTGAGAGTGAAAATTTTCATTCTCAATCCTCTCGTGGGCCTACCTCAGCCAGATCTCAGGAGAGAACTCTATTGTCTAGATTGAAGTGAATGCCAAGAATTTTTAAAAAAATTAATTAATTTGTTACATCATTCTTCATTTTGTGCTTTTTTTTAATCTCAGCTGTAATCCCCATGACTTCCCACCACCAATTCACCCATGTGTCATCTCCATAGTCCTGTGTGCTCTTCCCACCCCAGTTTTGATCCTATCTATTCCCCCTCTCCACCCTTGTAAAATGTCTCTAGTTTATAGTTGTTCATTTTTTCTTTATTACAGTTGCTTTTTTTTCCTGGTCCCTTAAGCTCCTACTATGAGTGAAACCATCAGGGATTTTTCTTTTTCTTTCTGGTTTATTTCACTAAGCATGAGCCCTTCCATCTCTGTCCATATGGCTGCAAAAGGCATGAGTTTATTTATTTATTTTTTTTTTAAAGATTTATTTATTTGTGCATACAGAACTGGGGTACAGGCCAGAGGCTCAGGGGCGGTGAGAGGCTTCACCAGAGACAGAGTGGGAAGCAGAACAGGCAGATCGACGAAGTACACCGCTGAGAGGAGCAGCGGGCGGGTCAGGAGAGGTCTGCCACGCCATGTGGTCACCTCCGGGGCAGGCGGGAATCGAACTCATGAGGAAGCGGCTTTAGATTCTCAGTGCTGCGCTTTAACCCGCTGCACCACCAGGGAGGGCCCGAGTTTATTTTTTTTTAATGAGTAATATTCCATTGCATATATGTACCACATCTTTTTAATCCAGTCTTTCACTTTTGGGCATTTGGGTTGATTCCACTTCTTCCCTGCTGTAAATAGAGTAGGAATAAACATGGTGTTGCAGATGTCATTTTGAGTCAATGGGAGCATTTTATGGAACTCACCATTTCCTTTCTTTCAGTGTCTAAGATACTCAGCCAGAGAAGACTAAAATGATAACTTAGTTTGATGGTATTTGCTTAGACCCTTAAGGAGTTAAATGGAGGAGTAGCTGCTTGTTATATGCTGGAGTATTGGGTTCATTTTCATCAACTATAGGACAATGGACTAATTACCAATAAACAAACACATAAATTCCTGCTACTTTAACACAGTTCTGCCCTGGTGATAAAATGTGATGAGAAAGGATTAACAATCTAGAAAAACAATGATATAAGAGTATACAAAAGGGAAGCAAGAATGGGAGAGTTGCTGTGATACATGCTTAAATCTCTTCAGCCCCAGGAGAATTGCATGATGGAACCAGACATAGTTCTGGGAAGAAAAGAAAATTCTGGCCCAGGAGTGTGTCATCCAGGTCATAGCGGCCTTTAGAAACAAGAGATAGACTTGAAATTCCTGCCATCTTGACCCTCAGAAGCTGAGCTGAAAAGTCACTGAATGGAAAGGATGTTGTTTTGTTCAGAGTAGTGGAATGTCCCCTAATGTGCATGGACAAAACACTTGCACTCCTCATTGCTTTTGCTTTCCCTTTTGTGCAAGAGAGCAACAGCTACTGACAGTTAGTGTTGGGGATGGAGCAGTGGGTGTACTGATGTGGACCCCCAGGGACCTCTGACTGATGGGAAAGGCCAGTTCAATTGGTTTAGCAAAACAGGGTTATGCAACAAACAATGACTTGTCATGGATTTTGTTTGTCATGGATTTTTTTTGTTTGTCATGGATTTTTCTTCTATTAACTTTTTTTAAAGAATGGATTAAGATATTACTTGATTATTGAATGTTTGTTCATCTGCCCCCTTAAGTTTTGTGCTAACCTCATCTTGGCTCATATAGAACTGGGGGGAATTGACTAGTGTAAATCAGATTTTTATCAAAGTGGTATTTTAATTAGACCAAAGTAGACAGAAGATAATTACTTTTTGGGTAAATTTAAGAGCAAGTCTCTTCAAAAGGAAAATGCTAAAATATACTAGAATAGATATAGGAGAGTGAATATATGTATTGATTTAACATTGTTATAATAAACAAATTTAATCCAGTAAAGAAAGAAAAAAAAAAAAAGGAAATTGCTGGCTGTGATTGATTCTACACAGAAATCTGCGTAGGCCAGTTTGGTTGTAGCATTCTGTGTAAGTATGGGCTGTGTCTTTCAGGAAAGAAAGAGTGAAATTTATAGATTAAATTCTCCAGCCATTAAAATCTGTGAAATTTCTGAAGAGAATTCTCTAGTTGTGATAACAATTAATAGCTGTGATAACAGAGGAACTCAGTGATTTTTCTCACATGTGATTAACATGATCAACATACCCCATCTTTAAATAACCAGGTCAAATCGATGTAACAGATATGGTATATATATTTCAATTTTTCATGCATTTTAGATTAGACATTACTAAATATATAAGAGAACTGAAGTAAATGGACATAGACATCCTTCCTAATTTTAAAATTCAACAATTTTTATTTAATGGTTGTTAGGATACTAGAAAACAGAAATGAGATCTCTAGAATGATCAAGAATTAAATGTTGTTTGGGTTCTTACTCAGGAAAATAGGGGAACCAAGGCATAAAGAAAATAGAGAGGTTCACAGCTGCTTTTCTAACAATAAGACTCAACTGAATAATGTTGCTGTTTATTTTCTGTGTGGTACGGAATAGCCTAGAGGCTTGAAATGAACAACTCTCTATTTTTTTTAAACCCTTAATCTACCACCAGCAACTTCTTAAAAGTAGGTAATTATATACTCCCCTAGGAATATATTACAATTCCCAGAGTGAGTCTACTCCTCTATAAAGATAATTGGAATTATGCATGGTAATTTGTTTAAATTTGTCTTCTTTTAGCTTCTAGAGGTGCTCCATTTGCCTGTTTTGAAGACGTGAATTCAAGAGGTGATAGATATGGAAACTGCGGCGAGAGAGCATGCCACTTCCAGTATGTACTTCAAACATAGTTGTGTAAAATAGGTCTGATGTTGCTAGGATCCAAGAATATACTAATATGTACACACAGAAATGTTACTTTATACCAGATTTTCTTTGTTTTTGTTCTGGGCCAAATAGTATAACCAATTTGCTTACAAATAACATGTGTTCAGTGCCTATAAAGTTGCAGAGTGACCATAAAAATCACCTCTTGTTTTTTTGTTCTGATGAGCTAGACATTGTTTTAGGTAGTTTATATATGTTATGGTTTTATTATATACTATAAAGATATTTTTATAGATCAATTGGTTTTTTAAATTAAATTTACTTATTTATTTATATATATATTATATCATTGTACATTTTTAAACAATATTTACTCTTTTTTATTTCCCTCAGGTGTTCCCATAGAATTTCCTTTTCCAATTCACCCATGTACAGACCCCTGTTCTCCCCCTGACCTGATCTCTCCCGCAGGATGTTTCTGATTTATAACTGTCTATTTTTGTTTTGTTTTGTTATTATTTTTTCTCCTGATGTCTTATTTGACTGCCCTATCTATATTCCTTCAAGTGAAACCATTCAATATTTTTGTTTTTCCTTTTGGCTTACTTCATTGAGCACAATTCCATATTGCTGTGAATAGCATTAGTTTATCTTTTTGATTGATGAATATATTCCATTGTGTATATGTATCACATCTTCTTGATCCAGTCATCTGTTTATGGGCGTTTAGGTTGTTTCTAGGTTTTAACTCTTATAAATACTGCTGCAATAAACATAGGGTTGCAGGTATTCTTTGAGTTAACATTTTTGTGCCCTTTGGATAGAGTACTAGGAGTGGAATTGCTGTATCATATGGAAGCTCCATTTTTAGTAGTCTGGGGAATCTGTATACAGCTTTCCATAGTGGTTGGAGCAGTTTGCACTTCTACCAGCAGTGCAGGAGGTTCCCTTTTCACTACGTCCTTGACAACATTTGTTGTTACTAGTTTTTTGATATGTGCCATTCTTACTGGCTTAAGGTGATATCACATTGTGGTTTTGATTTGCATTTCCCTGATTATAAAGGTTGTTGAACATTTTTTCATATTCCTGTTGGCCATTTTAATTTCCTTTTTGGAGAAGTGTCTTTTAAGTTCTTCTACCCATTTCTTCACTGGATTGTTTACTTTGGTTTTGTTGAGTTGCATCAGTTCTTTGTAGATCTTTGTGATCAGTTCCTTATCAGTTGTATGGAGTGCAAAGTTTTTTTCCCCAATCACTAGAGTGTCTCTTTGTTTTGGTTAGTGTCTCTTTTGCTGTAAGAGCTTTTCAGTTTGATGTAGTCCCAGGTGTTTATCTTACATGTCCTGGTCCTTGTAGAGACCTGACATTTTCCCCCCCATATGTTTTTTTTTTTTTTTTAAAGATTTATTTATTCACACAGAACTGAGGTACAGGCCAGAGATGTGGAGGGGCACCATCTTGCAAAAATAGGTATTTTTTCCCTCACCACACATCGTCTCACAAAATAAAACAAAACAATCCACAATATAAGTCAGTGTGTGCCAAAAAATTTACTAAGATCTTGAACCCTGGATTTAAATTAATAATATACTTTTTAAAACTTAGTTATATTAGTAATCTACATTATTTCTGTAAATGAAGCAGCTTTTTTTCCTGCCTTGTGCTACTAGTGATGCTCTATGTGGAAAATTAGTATGTGCCTGGCCACACAAAGCATTGGTATCACGTACAAATTTATCCGTGATTTACACACATATACGGGAGGAATTGTGTGTATCTACATTTCGAAACACAGAAAAATTGCTGAGACCCACAATGACCACCATTATCACACCTGAGGAGAGAGATGACACATTTGTGGAAGATGGCTCTGCGTGTGGCCCTGCTATGGTAATTACAACCAGAAACTCAACTACCTTTGAAAATTAATTTTTACAGCTGGACTTATATTGACAATAGACAAGCTAATGCATTTTTGGACAGCCTTGTGGTGCTTTTATTTACCATAGAAGTCACCCACCATAAGGTTATGATTCATTGATTTGCTTTAGTTTGCAGAGGAGCACAAACATTTCCACAGGCAATTTTAGGACTTACTACTGATGGTTTAAATAAATTGAGGGAAGCAAACATCAAGTTTGTTAAATACATAAGATCGAGGACTTGAGCCCATGAGCTATCTCCAGATAGCTGTGGGAAAGCCACCTGAATTCTAAACCTCACAATGAAAATTGTATACAGTCCTCAAGGAAAACATATAAAGATTGTTATAGAAAAAAATTGTTTAATTCATGCATCTATTTGATGTTGTCTATACATTGTGGAAAACAAGGAGGTTAAAATTTAAAATTGGTTAAAATTTACACTATTTAGAGCCTGAGCTTCAATAAATTGAAAGTTCTAGTAATGTCATTATAAACCTGGAAGTCTCTCTGTTTTTGAAGTTACCTATTTGCCTGGATATAAATTTTTTCATTGCTGATAGTGCATCTTGGCAAAGTGTGCCTTGGCTCTTTGGCTTGAACTTCTTAGTACAAACCAGGGGAGAGGGATGCCCTTAAGCTTTTGATTTTAACTATTAGCTCCTAAATTTCACTTTTGCCTATCCAGACCCTAGCAACAAACCTAGTTTTCCTTATTATCTAATGATAATGTGGTACATTTGTTATAATTAGCAAAATAATAATGATACACTGTTATTAATAATATTTCATGTTTCATTCAGATTTCCTTAGCTTTCACTACTGTCCTTTGATTTCATCCAGGATACCACATTATATTTATTAACTGTGTACTCTTAAACTCCTCTTAACAGATTTACTTTCCATAATTTCATTACTTTTGACAACTAAGTTTTGACACAAACTGGTAATATATTCTATAGATTGTTGGAATTGCTGTGAAGTTTCAAGATTTCCTTGCTAAACTATAACTCCGTATTGTATTTTTTAATAAAAGTGTTTTTTTTTAAGATTTTTTTATTTATTCGTACAGAACTGGGGTATGGGTCAGAGATGCGGAGGGTGAGAGGATTCACCAGAGACAGAGTGGGGAGCAGAATAGGCAGATTGACAAAGTACACTGCTGAGGGGAGCAGTGGGCCGGTCAGGAGAGGTCTGCCACGCCATGTGGTCACCTCCGGGGCAGGCAGGGATCGAACTCATGGGGAAGTGGTTTAAGCTTCTTTGTGCTATGCTTTAACCTGCTGCGCCACCAGGGAGGGCCCAATAAAAGTGTTTTTGACAATAGAATGAAGATAACCAGAATACCATGCTTATTTTTAAACATATGGCATACCAATGTACCTTGATCCTTCTCCCCTTCTTGAAATCTAAATAATAAAGACTCAACTCTGGCCCTTTTCTTTTTGTATACTTTGTCATTATAAACCAAAGAATATCTAAAATATAAAATGTTTTCACAAAGTATTGAATTTACTGGAAAATTTTTTAATAATTAGGAAGGTTCACAAAAATTAATGTTATGTTAAATGATATTCCCATATTTAGAATTAGAATAAACTCACATATTTAACATTCTTTTTCTTAGAAGACAATGTTATCACTGGAAGTATCTCATTTTTTTACTACCTCTTATGAATTATCTATTATCCTTGCTCTTCTTTCTCCTCACTTTTTTTTGTCTCACATGGAGTAGTATATATTTTCTTTTGTTGTTCATACTTCTGATTTTAAGGCCTTAAGCTTCCATGTTATATTTCTCAATACTAACTGCTATAGTTGAGACCCTAACTTTAGTAATTTTGATAGAATGTTCTCAAGTGGAACCCAGACATGCATATTTTTTAAATGCTCCTCAGAAAATTTTGAACCTAAGGGACCATCATAATATTTTTCCAGATATTCCTGTTTCTAAAAGGACTTCTGGTAATAGTTAGCAAGTAAAACTTGTATATAACTCCTTATATATGCTATTATCTTTAAATCAGAAGGTATGTAGCTTATTTCACATTTATTTCAATTTAATTATAGTTACTGATTTTTTGTAAATCTTGATAATATGAATTCTAGCATTTTCTTGAAATTTTCTCATGTTTTATTTTTTACTGTTTTAGTTTTGTATTAATTTTAGATGTGTAGAGGTTCAGTACCAAACTGATTTTAAGGCGTGCAATTCTTCTACAAATTGCAATGACCATGGAGTAAGTAATTTTAATTTTAATTTTAGTGACATGTTTTGAATAATTTGATAAACAAATTGGAGATTCAAAAATTTGAATGATTTTTAAAATCATTTCCTGATGTATGGTGTAATTTAACAATCTATAATTCAGACCTTCAATCTTTCTTTCTTAAATCTTGTGAAACTATTTACTAGAAAAGACAAAGTAGATACTTAAAATGGTTCTGACATATAAAGTGTTGATAAATACATTACCATATGACACCATATGTTATCATATAGTCAAAATAATCTTATTACTACAAAGAAAAAGCAGAAACTAGTGAACAACAGCAACAAAAATATGTTGAAAACTTTCACACTAATCTTGATTATTAGAGTCTGGGCTGTTCTGTGATGCTTACAAGTAAATGGTAATTAGTGACAGTTTACTAGTAATGGTTAATACTTGGTTCTGGCTGTGTGGAAGAGTTGAAAGAATTTTAAAAATTGACCTGGCAGCAGAAGCTAGCTATACTTTCCAGCATGAACAACTTTAAGACAAAATTTATGGGAAAATGTTGAACTTAGTCTCTTTAAGACAAATCACCTAGTGTGAATAAATTCTCTAGAGTAGCTTAGATAAATTCTCTGGAGTAGCTTCTTCATTGAAGGAGTATAGAATTAGTCTTTTGAAAGAAATGATTGTACAGAAAAAGTGTTCTACTTTCCGATTATTACAGATTTGCAACAATTTTAAAAACTGCCACTGTGAAAAAGGCTATGCTCCTCCTCTTTGTAAAAAGACTGCAGGTGGTTTTGGGAGTGTCGACGATGGACATTACTTCGTAACTGGTTGGTGTCTTTACACTTCTATTAACTCAGTACGACAGGCATTGCAAAATTTTTCTCCTTTTTTCTTCCACAGGATATTTGGTTGCAGTCTGTGGGTTAGGAAATGTAATTACACTCAGACTTGTAGAATAATCAAGGATATGAAAGAGATAGTAATGCTGTTTGTTCCTGTACCACTAAGTGGTAGCTGCTTTTGTCAGGATCTGATGTCTTTTTTGGAGTTAGGCTTGTTTCTGATATGGGAAATTAAAAAAAAAAAAAGGAATTAATTTAAAAGTACTCTCATGTCTTCACCGAGACCTACTTGCACTCACATCTCCTTCTCCACCTTACTGAATTCTGTTTTTTATTGCCGTATAACTGACATATATCATACAAATTAGAGGTGTAAAACATACTGATTCAATATTTGTATAAACTATGATCACTATAATAATTTTCTTTCGTAATGGGAATTTTTAAGGTCCACTCTTTTAGTAGCTTACAAATACACGATAATTAACTATAGTCAATATTCAGAGTATTATACACCCATTACATGTATTTTATAGCTGGGCACTTGTTTCTTTAGAATCCCTTACCTCAAATCAGGTGGCATTTGTCTTTGTCTGCCCTCAAGGCCCATTTATGTTGCTGCAAGTGGCAAGATTGTTTTCATTTTTGATTAATGTTCCATATCCTCTCTAGTCCCCATCTTAGCTATTACAAAGAATGGTTTTGTGAACATGGAGGTGCATATGTAATTTCCTGTTAGCGCTTTAGTTTTTTTTCAGAGATGTGCTCAGAAGTAGAATTCTTGGAGCATATATTAAATGGTCTTATTTTAAATTTTTTTGAAACCTCCATACTGTTTCACATATAACACCACTACTTTACATTCCCAGCAACAGTGCATAGGAGTTTCTTTTCCTCCACATTCTCATTAATACTTGTCATTTCTTGTCCTTTTGATAATAACCCTTCTAACAGATATCAGGTGATTTCTCATTGTGACTTTGTACATTTCCTTGATGAATAGTGTTCTTGTGCATCTTTTCATGCATCTGTGTGGTCATTTGACTATCTTACTCAGACAGATATTTATCCAGGATTTTTAGCTATCTCTTAATCAAGCCACTTGTTTTTTTGCTAGTGAGTTATAAGCACTCCCAGTGTATTTTGAGTATGATTTGTAAATATTTTCTTCCATTAAGTGGATTGCTTTTTTATTTGTTGATGAATTACTTTTCATGAAGATAGTCCCGCTAGCTTACATTAAATGTGTTGCCTTTGTTTTTAGTGTCAGATTTAAAAAATCTCCAGGACTGATGCTAAGGAACATACTTCCCATGTTTTCCTCTAAGAGTTTTGTGGTTTCAAGTTATATATTCAAGTCTTTAATACATTTTGAGTTAATTTTTGTGTATGGTGTAAGATAATGTTTCAATTTCATTCTTTTGCTGTGGTTGTCCATTTTTCCCGAGCACCATTTACTGAAGATACTATCTTTACCTATCCCATATTCCTGACTTTGATGTAAATTAGTCAGCCATATATGTATGAATTATGGGTCAAAATTATTTTTGGCACCAGTGTAGATAACCTGTTTTTGGTAATAGTATTCTTCTCCTGGCTGGATGTGTCCTTCCACCTATCATTAATAGTAGTTTTTGTTTGTTTGTTTGTTTTTTGTTTTTTTTTACAAGGGATTAATATCCAAATAATGCATAAAACTCAACAACACCAAAAAAATCAATTAAAATGAGTATCAGATCTGATTATACACTTCTTTAATGAAGACATTTTGGTGGCCAACAAATGGGTACATAAAAAGTTGTTCCTCATCATTTGTTACTAGGAAAATGCAAAGCAAAACAACAATGAGAAATCACCTCACTCCTATGAGAATAGTTGTTATCCAAAGATAAGAATTAGCAGTAGCCAAGAACTAAAAACAATGTAAATATTTATTGACAAATTATTGTGTAGACAGTTAATATACACAATGAAATAATAGCTATAAAAAAGGATGGAATCTTGTCATATATAATACATGGGTGGGCTTCTAGTGTATAAGTTGTTTTTCCAGTGTTGTTTTCCACACCTGATATTTGTATAATGTTATAGTGCAGTATGACTTCAATTAAATAATAAGTTTTAAAAAATCACGATCTTTTAACCTTCTTTTCCCATGATACCTGGATTAGGATGTATCAGTATTTGTAATCATTCTGATTTTCATGGTTTGAGTCTTAGAAAACATGATTGCTCCATTAACAATGTGAAAAATCAAATTAGCTCTAAGCTGATACAAAGCTTAACCAACCTAACAGTTAATCCACAGATTGAGTTAAAATGAAATGCTAATACAATAACTTAAAAATTCTGAAATTATACATGAATATCACATTGCTCAGTGAACCACAAATCATGACCTGGCAACATTGGCCACCAGAGTTAAAGTTAGCAATCACAACTACAAGAGGTGCCTAACCTATGTTATATTCATTTGATACCAAACAATGCTTTAGTATCTTATTACTATTTTTTTTTTAAATCCTGTATGGGTTCCGTATCCTTCCTCCAGTCTGCCAAACCAGTTTCCAAAACTCACTTTGGGCCATTTAGGCAGTAAGAATCTTCTCTTTCATTGGAGCAGAAGCATTTTTGCTTTGTTTCGTTTTATTTGGGTCTCCAACTGACCTGATGAGTTCTGCATATACTGGAGAAGGCAGTCTACTTTACTCAGTCTGTACATTTAAATGTTAATTTCTTTAAAATACCCTCATTAAACATCTAAAATATATTAGACCAAGTATCTAAACACACGCTGGCCCTGTCAATTTGATACATAAAATACACTCACACACACACTTATAGTATTTGCCAGGAGGAGGAGGCCAGGAGTCTCCCTGCAATGGGCTTGGCAGCATTTACTTGCCTCTCTATATAGATTATTGTCAATAAAGCTGAATTTGTTTGATTTATGGTCAAATAGTTAGAGAAACTATGCAATCATATAAATTGTGTAATGAGCAGTAGAAATATGAGATATGTCTATACATGAGCAATATTATGTCAAGTTATAATACTGTCTTTTTCTGAACTCAGTCTGAATGTGTGGGGGAATAACGAGAATTTTATAAGCTGCAGTTGATGTTCAGGTTTCTCCAGAGAAAAATCTTTTTCTCTGTATCTGATGTTTGCCGATAGTTTGGTGTGGGTAAAATCTATGTCTCAGAGAGTCTGATTTGACTATTAAAACTTTGAATCATATGGGTTAAGCTATGTTGGGGTAATAAAAGGGAATCTTAAAAATTGCATGGATCATTCCCTCAGGCATTTGGGAAGGAAATAGAAACTGCTTTGTGGTAGGTTACTGGAAACTATTGTTAACTGAAGGGAAATGAAGACCCAGAGTGATGGATTAAGAACACCAACCTGAAGGGAGAGTTACAAAATATCCCTTTCTAGCTATTTTTTGTAGTGCTTGCTACTATCTAAGGCAGAGAGGTGGGATGAATTTTTTCTGGCTCTTCCAAAGCCTGTTTACACTTCGGAGGCCACCTGGGCATACATTATATTCATTTTTTTTTAAAGATTTATTTTATTTGTACATACAGAACTGGGGTACAGGCCAGAGGATCAGGGGCGGTGAGAGGCTTCACCAGAGACAGAGTGGGGAGCAGAACAGGCAGATCGACGAAGGACACTGCTGAGGGGAGCAGCGGGCGGGTCAGGAGAGGTCTGCCACGCCATATGGTCACCTCCGCGGCAGGCAGGGATGGAACTCATGCGGAAGTGGCTTTAGCTTCTCAGTGCAGTGCTTTAACCCGCTGCGCCACCAGGGAGGGCCCATTATATTCATTTTTAATAACGTGGTATTGTCGACTACCTAAAAGACTAAACAAGTAGCTAAGAATCAGCTCCTCTGCCTGTCAGCTCCTTCCTCCATGACTCTACTGGCAGTGAAGTGCTAGAGCAGCTTTTCATAGCAAATCAAAAGGAGGCATGCCAGCAAATTATGGAGAAAGAAGGTTGTGACATAAATTCAGATGGGTGACTGCTATGTACAAAGAAGTGAATCTTAGGTGATCCTCAAGTCAGATAAGCAGAAGTTAATGTAAATATCAGCTGAGAATGAGTAATTTTTGAGGACAATGTAACTATTAGTACTAGTTAGTCAGAAATGGATCAGAACTAGAGCAGAATATATTCTATGTATTAATTTTAATATTCTGGTTTCTCTCTGTATCATATAAATGTGTTGACCTTTACTGTATAGTAATTCTTGAGTCATTTTTTTTAAAGATTTATTTATTTATTCATATAGAACTGGGGTACAGGCCAGAGATGTGGAGGGTGAGAGGATTCACCAGAGACAGAGTGGGGAGCAGAACAGGCAGATCGACGAAGTACACTGCTGAGGGGAGCAGCGGGCGGGTCAGGAGAGGTCTGCCACGCCATGTGGTCACCTCCAGGGCAGGCGGGAATCGAACTCATGAGGAAGTGGCTTTTAAATTCTCAGTGCGGTGCTTTAACCCGCTGTGCCACCAGGGAGGGCCTCTTGAGTCATTTTTAACACTACCCTATACCTACATATTTGATGAAAAAACTTTAACAGTTATAAGTGCCAGTATGACTGAAAATCCAATGTGGTAAACCAATAAAAATAATTAAATGTTATTTAGAGACTACTAATTTTTAAGTTGTAGGAAAAAATTATAGTAATGTAATAAAAATTAAATGTCACATTTCCCAGGTTTGATTCTCATCTGTATGTCTAATCCCCGTTCTCTCTGTGTGTTTGGACTTTGGAGAAGGTGTACCAGAAATGAATAGAAGAAATGTTGGCAATTACTAAATATGTTTCATGAAAGAACATTACCTTCACTCTAAGAAATCACCGTATCTTAGAACACTGAAATCTCAAAAACATCCTTAAAGTACTATGAATAGCCCATTTCATGTGTTGATTTTTACAATTTTATTACGTTCATAGCATAGTGCATATGAATATGGATAAAATTTCAAGTGTTTGGGGATAGTGTTCATAGTGATATCCTTTACTCCTTTTATTTGTTAATAAAGAATTTGACTTAATTTGAAGTGGGTATTTTTCCATTTTAGGTAAAAATTTAATGGAGAAAAGATATGCAGCTCTTCCAAAACACCAATTTCTAGTCATTTTCTACATTTTGTTACCCGTCCTTCTCATTGCTATTGCTGTTTTAATCAAGCGGAATAAATTAATAAAGCTGTGCTACAGAAAGGAAACTGAAAGTGAGAGGTATAGATATATACTTATTTTTTTAAATATTTATTTACTTATACAGAATGGGGGTACAGGCGTGAGGTGCCGGAGCAGTGAGAGGCTTCACCAGAGACAGAATGGGGAACAGAACAGGCAAACCAATTGAAATACACTGCTGAGGGGAGCAGCGGGCGAGACAGGAGATGTTTGCCATACTATGTGGGTCATCTTCTTGCCCTGGGATCAAACTTGTGCTGAAGCAGCTATGGCAGGCTTCATAGTGTTGTGCTTTCACATTGTGCTTTAACATATTGTTCCACCAGGGAGGGCCCTAGCTATATTCTTATTAAGTTAAATAAATCAAGAGTAAGTATTCATGTTTCATCAAGAATAATCTAAAACAAGATATAAGGCAAGATGAAGAAGGGTCTAAATAATCTAATAATCTAAAACAATATATAAGGCAAGATGAGGAAGGGTCTAAAAACAATTTAAAATAGTTTTTTCTCATTCCTAAAGTCTTTCAGTTCACCATCAGTATCACTGTAAGAGAAAGATGACTGCCAACATATTGTGGACATTTTATTCAGCTTCATAATCTACATTGGCCTTGTATAAATAGTTGCAATGTCCACAGACTTCATGTGCATGATTCACTGCATTTCAAAGGAATTTTCAAAAGTAGTTTTTTAGATAATGCATATTCTCAAGTCCAGTGGCATGCAAACTACTTTATTAGAACATTTTTCTCAAGTAGAGGTAATAGTTAAAAACCTGCCTCTATATTTATTTTCCTAAATATTGATATTGGTAATAAGTAAAGTTTTTCTTAGCTAGAAATTATATGTGAAGTTCATATTATCATATTAGAAGATAGGAAACAGCATCCTGTCATGAGGAGGAAATTACAGGTGCTAGCTGTAGTTCCTAGCTTTAGTTCCTAACTTTTGCACATAAAAACTATGATATCTGGAATAAGATTTGACATTTGGGGTCTTTTTTTTTTTTAAAGATTTATTTGTTCACACAGAACTGGGGTACAGTCCAGAGGCTCAGGGGCAGTGAGAGGCTTCAC